GGGGCTTTTTGTGTTAGCAATCCTGTCGCTGGCAGTAAATTGCTAAAGAAAGAGACATATATTTTAATCTGCCCCTTGTTTGAAAGTCCTTTTATGTAAAACGGATATAACCTGTAAATCACAGCCCACAAGTGAATTTTCATTCATGAGTGCCACTTTTGGAAGAAACATGAATTTGGAGTCTGACCAATCTTTAAACTGTCTTGTCGTAGAACCTGATGCACAGTTTGTGCTGCCTCCCACTTTAATGGAAACCTCTAACAAGAAATACTTGGCAGCAACAGTTGACAGACTTCTAAGATTGCTAGTTGCTTAGCTTTTTCTGGCTTCTGTCCTTGACCCTTGGCCTTGACCCTAAATAAACATGCACATCATAAAGTTATTTGTGTTCAAGGTGAGTGTCTGCAATGAAGTTATTGGATTAGCCTGCCAGTCGAGCTACTAGTTTTTCCAGAAGAGGTCAATGGTAGCATCCACAGTCTCTCAGAATAGCTCTTCCTTCATACACAAAACACGTTCATTATTTATTTAGTTAGTAAATCAAAGGATGCAGTAGCATTGGTTTTCCATGTAGCAGTAAGGACACTTGACTAAGTAATTAACTAAAAGATTTAAAAGAAATCTGTAAGGAGAGAAACATGGAGGCTTCCATTGCTGGGCTCGCCTTCTAAAAATGTTAGTTCTTTGCTTGTCATGCTGACCCTCTTACATTAAAACTTTTTGTGTTCAACATGAAACAATTTTAATGTACAACTTTACCATGCTGCAGTGTGCAGTCTGCTTAATGCAGTCGAGAGAATTCAAGAAACTTTGCCTATGCCATTAAGTGAATTGTAATGCATAAATCCAACTTGTTATAAATTCATGGTTATGCTATAGTGAAAGCAGATTGTTAGGATACAGTCAAATGTTTCATCTTGCCTTTTAATGCAATCTTTTTACTAATACAATACAACACTACATATTATCTAAGAAAGTTCTGAATTAAATAACCCATAGTGCTTTAGACAAAATGGTATAAAGATGCAAGTAAGAAACGTGGTAGTCTGGTTTTAAAAGGCTGTTAATAGGTTCTTGTTCTTCTGTAAAATAGGCTCAGAAACTCAGATAATAACACTTGACCTAGCATATTGAATTTCATTTTCATAGGAAAATTCCTGTTCTCATTTGTGGATTTTAAGTTGTGCCCACATATATGTGGGTCCATCAAGGAAAGGGGGTCAGGAGACTGCATGTGACTATATATCGGGGTCTGTTTACACTTGTGTATTTTCCTGCAGTAAGACACATGAATTCTACTGCATGAAAATGCATTTTAAGTAGAATTTCTATTCTTTCCTATATGGCTGGGTAACATTTATGCACTGCAATTCAATGTGTATTGAATAAAAAATGCTGCTCAATGGGCATTGTGTAAACAAGTCCTAAGAGTCTCATAATACCGATGCATGTGTGTCATGCATGCTGTCCATGTGAATGGGATGTTTAAGCTACCCTTTAAGTATTTTAAACATTTTTAGCTAGCAGCCCCTGCAAAAGAATATGGTTAGTAGTTGCCTTTCTGGCAGGTGGCACATACAATTTTCACTGTTTAAACCACTTCAGGTGGTGCTATCCGACACTTCAGGTGTGTGTGGTACAGTTCTGTATGCTGTGGGTCCTATTGCGAGCTGCTACATCTGTACTATGCCCTTTTCCATATATACAATGATTAGTTGTGTGCGTTTTTTAACTAACATTTAAGCAAAACTGACCTATAAGTGTATGTATAGTCAACTTTAAAAAAAAAAAAATCTTTGGATAGCGTAGGGAAGGGTTAAAACCCTTGTCATTTTATTTTAAGTCTTTTTACTTCCTGTCCTAGAAATGCAAAAGGAAGGGAGATGATTTGCCTTCTTAGATTGTTGCCTCCGTAGCAGGTGTCCCTGAAAATTTACCCTCACTAGTTGTTTTGGTGACCACTAGACGTGCATTCGGATTCGGCTCATTGCCTCCCAAACCTGAAACAACATAAAAATGTGTTTCCTTTAACAAAACGAATGAAAACGTTTGTTTGATTTTCATTTATTTCATCTGGAAACAATTTTTTTGGTTGTGCACATGCCTAGTGACCACTAGTTGACCATCTCTGTGGCAATGATCATCAGAAGAAAAGATGCATTTACCTAGTGGGGGCAAACAGCCATAAAAACTTTACATCCCTCCCTACCCGTTTGTAAAAAAAAACAAACAAAAAACGTGAGCTATTATTACACTTTAAAAATTGGTGTCCCTTGGCTAAAAGTGATCTGAGCAGGTTTATAAATGTCAGATTAGGCAAGGAAGTGAGGTGAAGCCCCCTATACACTTTCACAAAAAGTGCTGACAGTAACTCTTATATCTCACATTGGCCCACTCATTTGACCTCCCCCTCCATATTCAGCATACAATGGTATGTGCCATCCATTGTGCATAGAGAACAGTTTGCGGTGGAGCTCAATTGACCTTTTATAATCCAATCATGTACACAAAATAGTGTTTGTGTGTGTTTTTTTTTTATTGCATGCATGTGATTGGGCATTCTTTGCAAAGTGATCCTTCTTCATATTCACTAACCTAAGGGAACATTCCCTTGCATTTTGCCTTTAGTAAATCAACCCAATACACCTGATTGACAAAGCAATGAAATGTGCAATGATTACTTCTAGCAACCATCAGATTGCCTGCTGCATTTTATCTCTGTTTTTTCTCTTTGCACTGAAGTGCCTCTGCCTATGTTGATTTCTCTAAAATCAGTATCTAAGTTTAGGCTTCCAATTATATTTCTGGGTGATTTTTAATTTTCAAACTGTGGGCCTAATTTACGAAAGTATAGTAAATGCCTGTGTAAATTAGACCTTATATGCCTCTACAATAGTTACTAGATTATTCTGAGGTGAAAAAAACGAAGGTGGCTAGAAATATTTTCTTTCTTTATTTTTTTACCAGCTGTGTTCAAGGCATGAGACCATGCAATAAAATGTATCTAGCTAATTCTGTGTCCTGTAAGGGCAATCTTCCTGAGGTGAGGAGGAATCCTTTCTGCACAGTTGTCACTAGAACAGATGTCCCAAGATTTTTTCCGCCTTCTGCTCCAATTTCAACTGTAACATTTTGACTTTACCTTCAAGTTTTGGTCTGGTCCCAGTTGTCACCAGAAGGTGAATTTCACAGTGGTGGCACACCAGAATAACCAGACAGGAGGTCAAAACCTTTCTCATTCTGTTCAAAAATAAACATTTTGGCTAGAGGTACACATTAAAACTAACCCATGCTTTGCCCATGCAGGGCAAAGCAACAAGTTTGATTTAATCCTTCTATACCCAGCATCATTTTCTTGTTTTTTTTTTCTTCACTCTCCCACTGACATTCTTTTTTAATTCTAAGAGCTGAAGGAAATACCTGGTACTTCTTGAGTATGGAGGAGCAAAGAACTCACCCATGTCACGGTGTTGATTGGCCACATGGAGAGTTCCTGTGTAATTTGACTCAAGCAGCTCCTTTTAATTACTGTCTTTTGCTGTAGGTTTTAGGATTGCTCAAGCTTAAAAGGTGTTTGTTGATTTTGTGTTTGTAAATGTGAATTGGGTCCAAAAATCTTATACTAACATTCAGGAAAAAAAAACTTAAGCCGGCCCTTGATATGTTTACTCTTCAATATCTACGTGGCTGTCATGTTCAGTCTGCAGATTGTTATCACTATATAGAACTGCCAGAAAGAACAGTTTTAGTGGTCAAGAAAAGCCAACCATCAAGCACTAATGAAATTGCACAAGATGGGTCTGAATGTCTCAGTATGCAAATCAGTTTGTGATAGCTATCGTCCAGTTGATCGGAAGTACACAACAACAACTATTTTACAACTGGATGATTTTCGTCTTTCAAGCAGCTTAGAAAATATTTGTCCGAGTTGGACGAAAATTGATTTATTAGTGGCATTTTCGTGCAACAAAAATCACATAATGAAAACTGAATATACGCAAATGGAGATTTTGGTCTTTTGATCGACAAAAATCAGCCAGTTAGTGGTGCTGACAAACGAAAATCACAAACTACATTGGTCTGTGCATAATGGGCTGTTTGAAAATTGAGGGTGCAATGTCGAGACAAACAAAGTTGTACAATGGTTGTAAGGTGTATGGGCACCATTAGGCATGAAGGTGGACTGGGTGGCCACTGAAATTAAGTAAGTGGCAGGCATTGCCCCAATGCCTCCCTGTGATTCTGGCATTGCCTGCTGTGGTCATTTTTATGATAATTATATGGACCTCATAAAACCTACAGATGTTCTTATGATTTTGACAAACAAATATCTGTCCATAGATCTACATTAAATATATTGCATTATGTATCTCCTAGTGGCTTATGTTATATCAGCTGTTGTAGAGAGGAAGAATAAAAATCTGATAAATATATAAGCTAATGAAAATATTAGATGGAAACCAGGTAAATATGAGTCACTTACAATACTTCTAGGTGAACTTCAATAACTCAAAATGTTTTCTCGCTAGAAATGTTTTATTTACGCTTTAATAATGGGTAATTATATAGTACTGCCAACCAAGGCACAGACTTGGACAAGTGGCTACCATAATACTAAATAATTTAAATGTAACCATTTCTATAAAGCTTGAGCTTTCAGTGACTCTTCAGTAATGTGTAGAATTTTAGAAAGGATTAGCAAGTCTGAACCGCTTACTTACTGTATGTAGAAATACTCGGATCATTTTGTTTTTATGAGATTAAAACCATATTTTCTACAAGTTTGTTTTCGCCTACCCTTTTAAACACATTTGTGTACATTGGCTTGCTTAGCTGTGGCTACTTAATACAAGGAGATCAGGAACCTGACTCTGTATGTTTTTCATTCTAGTTTGTGGCATTTCTCAGTTGGAGAAAATAACTTTTTAATTAGTTTTAACAGGGACCAAATGGACAAAATCTTTAATCGGACACAGATGAGATTATTTTCTTCTTTCTTTTAACCAGAAAAAGAATGTTTTATCTGTCGTGAAGCAGAGAAGAAAGGCCAAGAAGAATTGCACAACTACTGTGATTGCAGAGATTTAGTGGGACATCACCAGTGTTTGCTGACATGGATACAGAAAGTAAGGAATCTCCAATACAGTTTATCTGAACCCATGATTACAATACAATACAAATGTAAAAAATTACAACTTACCAGTCCTTAGATGTGGTGGGGGCATTTTTTTTTTACCTAGAGATCTGCTAGTAACTCACTTCCTTTCCTAGAATGACAATGCTCACTCATTGTACTCTATGGAGCTTGGTTGTTGCTCTAGAACAGGAAGAGTTAGGACTTCAGAACCACTCTCCTCGTCTTCATAACATGTGGGGGGAATTCTGTACATGCATAAACTAAGCAGGACTGATCATATTGTTTGTGTTAACATTGTAGAGTATATAGTACAGCACTTTATTTGTGGAAGTATGCAATTTCTTATTGAACATATAACAAAATTAAGATAAGTTTATTTGTTACGGTTGACATACATTTTACTGAGACCCTGTTGCCAGACCATTCTTTTCAACAATCTTCAATATGTGCATTAACATATTTTACCTGTAAAAGCCTTCCTTGTGTAGCGCTATTCGTAACCATGAAGACATAATTAAAATATGGGACTCTTCATCTTCCCAATAGTAATATTACCAAATGCTCGAAATCCATTTACTTTCAGTAAAGTCCTAGAAACATTCTTTTCAGGTGTGGCTGTCCATCACAAATTGTTTATGGAAATTTCCTTTCCATAAAAGGAACTTTGCAAGTAAATATTTAAAAAACATTTTTTTCCTGCATTGTTTAGGTTGATAGGGTCTCTTTACGTTCTTGCTCAATAGTCTCGGTCTATGGCTTTATTATTCTTAATATCTGAGGCCTACTAAGAGTAATAATAGCATTTTGGCCTGGAATCCATGTTCCCAGCTTGGTATACATCATTTTATTTGAAAACAAACAAAAAATGTACTGCCCTTCCTACCCTGCAAAACTATGAAGACTAGCAGGCCCTGTGCAGCGCTCACAAACTTTCTTCTCTCCCAAAACCAAAATAAACTGTTTTTGTCTAAACAATATATTTTTGATTTTGATGATAAAGCGGTTTGCTTTTTGGCATATCTGGCGGAACTGAAATACACTCCCATAGCTATCCCTCGTGCCTTTGTGTCCTATTATTATTCTCTGCTTTATTCTTCTACAGTGTCTTCCTCCTTTTTCAGGCTTTTCTGATTATCTGACTCCAATTCCCCTCCCCTCTCTCCTCAGCAATGTAGAAAACTGGATGCCCCTATCACCATTGAAGAGATTTCTCAAGCCATAACCAAATTACCATCCCTCAAATCACCTGGATCTGATGGTCTCCCCTCCGAATGGTATAATACCTATGGTGACCTTCTAGTTTATGTACATTTACATACGTACCTCGAGGCTTAAGAAACGGGTAGCCTTCCTCAGTCCATGTAGGAAGTCCTGGTTGATACTTTGTTGCAAACCAATAAAGACCCAGTGAAATGTGGCTCCTATCGCCCAATATCGCTTATTAATGCAGATGTTAAGATCCTTCCAAAAATTATTGCTTTGAGACTTTATCTTGGTGTCACCCTACTGGTGTTGAGTGACCAATCCAGTTTTATACCAGGATGGTCCACTAGAATGAAGATTGGGTGGTAACTTAAATTTCCACACCCGAATTCTGGCACAAGAGCGGACTAGACTAGACTCTTTAGATAAGGCCATTCTACACTGTTGAATGTCTTGAGTGACACAGAGGTGTGTCTTTTGGGCCTATTTGTTAAAAGAAAATGGCATAGTGCCAAAACTCCTTTTTTTCTAAAGGAAAGATAGCGGCCAGGATCTGGGCTCCTTTTTCTTGGTATAGGCTTACTTGATTCTCCCATTTAATTCCCGTATACTATATCAGAAAAGCAAATATAACTCTTACAGCCTTTTATGGCAAAACAGTCCTTTTGGTTGGCATGCTGCACAAGACTCCTCATAGGATACTTCCGGTCAATGTTGATCAAATACACTAGGGCCCAATCTTGCACCCCTAAGTAACACATGGCCCAGTCATTGAATGACAGCCCAACAATTAAAAAAAATATATATATATTATATATATATTTTTTTTTTAATAGTCCTGTACTTTTTACTTCCTATAATGAGTTTTTTTTTTTTAAAGGCAAATGCACTATTTTCCCAGGTTCTATCCTGGGGTGAGTTTTAGTCCAAAACCCATCAGCTATTGAGTCTGGGAAAACCGTACAATAGCATTCCAGGTTATTTAAACCAGGAAAACTCCTGAAGTGGCTAAAAGCTACTAGCAATAGAGTCTGAACAGTATACAAAAGAGTGACTAGAGCGCTAGGATCACTATAGGATCACAATATGTATATCTGTTGCAAAGGTGTCATAGTATTCGAGGGCATGTAACAGAGCTTTAGCTGCAGCATAAACTGATAACTCGTGGTTTGCCTGGACAGATCTGAGGCGTTGTTACCTGGTCTAATTTTCATACTGCTGTTTGACACGACTAGTTTGCTCTACTTACTCAGTGAGAACCTGGGGTGCTTCGATACCGGTTTTTCAGTTCGAGTACTGATCATCTTCTATTTTTTTTTTTTCAATCCTCGCCAATACGGATACCAGCATCTGTGGGCCTGGATTATCGGGAACTGCCGCCCAGCTCCCTGATTGCCTTGGAAGCTGGTGTTCTATCGAAAGAACACTGGCTTCATTTCCCTTGAAACACTGCAAGGCACCCTGGCTTTCTGACCAATCAGGAAGCCGGGGGGCAGGTCATGACATGCCGCCCAGCTTCTTGATTGGCCGAGAAGTTGGCTCTGTGCTCCCTCGCAGCACTGCTGGTCAGAGGGAGATCCCTCTCTGACCAGAAGTTCTGGTAGCGGGATTAAGTATCTGGGAATTTTGGTGAGTATGAGTACTCGCCCAAATACTTGGTATCGTATTCGTATCGGTGCATCTCTAGTGAGAACTCCACCTTTTAGAAAGTAGATTCTGAAAGCAGTTGCCCCTAGTAGGCTATTTGTAGCTTATTCTCTCATGTGCCGTCCTGGAAGATTATTGAGCTACCAGGTAATTAACTCTGCTTTCCCCAGTCTCCAGGAATCTTTCAGCACAGCAGGGAATTCCCTGCCCTTATTTTAGTGATTGGAGGTTTAAACTTAGTCATAGTATGTTCTATTGTTTGCCTTTTAGAATGTTAGTATTACTAAGTCAGTGAGTTTAAACTTGTTTTTTTATTTTCTGTGAGCCTTGTGTTTCCTGTTTTTAGGTGGGCGGAGCAATACTTTTGTGTTTGTCCTGGAAGATGTCCAGATCTTTTATATTTTATTTAAACATATTGGTTACCAAGCTTTGAAAGACTTGGAAACAAGGAGGCCGAACACAAGTTCCTACACCAGCGCTGTTGTATTGGATTCTGCCCAGAGCTAGCTTCTACCAGTCAAAGAAAGTCCTTCACATGGAACTAGAACTGATGTGTCAATAGAATAAAGAATATTTAATCAGAAGAAATGCTGGAGTGTGATTATACATTTTAAAAAATAGATGACACTTTCCCATTTCTATGTCGTGACTTTGTACTGTGTAGTGTGTGTGGGTGTTTATTTTTTTAATAATGTTGTAATCAATCTGCAGACAAACTGCTGCAGATAAGCAAGCTTTTTTTTCCTGTTTTTTAAGTGTAAGTACTTATTCAAAGAAGTGTCAATCATGACAAAAACTTTGATTTTTGTATGTTTTATGGCCAACACAGTGAAACAGTTGTTTACTTCTCGCAGTATAACTTTATGCAGCTTTATGTAGAAATGTAAAGACAAATGGCATGCACATCAAAGAAGGAGATTTTATGCAAATAAAGACTTCAGCACATGTTGTCTCCAGCTGTTTCCCAGCATAGGTATTTTCAGTAATCTACCCCCTTTTTAGCCATTGATCTTTCATCTAAACTAGAAATGACTTGTTGCTAAACTTTTATACTTTTGTACTTCCCTACAGTGGTCTTCCTAAAGTGCGTAGTATCCACCTTCACTCCCACAATTCATTATATCATTGTGACAACTAGATGATTTGATGGTTACATAATTGCATAGTTGCACATTTGGTCAGGTTGAAAAAAGACACAAGTTTATTGAGTTCAACCTCTAGAGATAAGCGGAGGGAAAAAAAAAAAAAAACTAAAATAGAATGCTATGCTCTGCTATGCTCAGTTACCCACTGTTGATCCAGAGGAAGGCAAAAAAAACTCCTATTAGGCATAGTTCAATGTACTCAGGACAAAAGAAATTCCTTCCTGATCCCATAAGGCAATCGGATATTCTCTGGATCAACAATTTCTGGTGCTTAACCACTTGCTGACTGGGGTGTTAAACCCCCTTCCTGTTCAGGCCATTTTTCAGTATTCAGCGCTGAAGTACTTTGACATTTAGTGCTGAAATTAATGTTATACCATTTTTTTGGGGACAGATAGAGCTTTCTTTTGGTGGTATTTATTCACCACTGGGGTTATTTTTTTACTATGTTAAGGAAAAATTACTAAAGATTTTGAAGACAAAAAACCTGTTTCCCGGATATTGTTATGAAACATTTTATTATTACCCAATTTTTCAGTAAAATTTAAAAGATTGGGTCTTGTTGGGTAAATGGACACCAAACATGTCAAGCCTTAAAATTGTGTGTGCCTGCAAAACCACAAAAAACTACAATACCCAAAATTGCCTATAGGCGACAATTTAAAGCTTTTTACTGCTCATCAGTTTAGTGTAATCAGTGATTGATGACCCTAAAATTATTGCTTGCACTCCAACATTTGCGGTGATATGTAACATGTGCAGCGCAATTGTCATTTCCGCGCGATGGTGCATACGTTTATATGTACGTATACAAGGGAGTGGGGGGACTTAACAAACATACTCCCCCTAGAGCAGGGGTAGGCAACCTTGGCTCTCCAGCCGTGCTGAAACTACAAATCCCACAAGGCATTGCAAGCCACAGGCATAACTCCCAGAGGCAGAAGCATGATGGGATTTGTAGTTTCAGCAGAGCTGGAGAGCCAAGGTTGCCTACCCCTGCCCTAGAGTATATGAAGCATGCATGTTTTTAGTTCCCAAATGCATAACTTTACATTTATCAACATTTAAACCTCATTTGCCAAATAGATGCCCAAACACACAGTGCATTCAGATCTGCTTGTAGGTTGGAGACATCCTGTAAGGACTGTATTCCACTACATAAATGCTTTTGCACAGTCCAAGTGTACTTTATCCAGAGCCATTCCTCTGTTCAATTTTTTACTCCCTCATAAAAAAAAAGTAGATTTGTTTGACAAATTCTGTCTTTTGTGAATCCGTGCTGAGTATTGCTTATGCTATTATCCTCAAGCAAAAACAAGTGCATGTGATCTTTGATTCACTTTCAAGTATCTTCCCAACTACCCGACTGGTACAGAGGGGGAATTTCCCAAGTTGGAGGTG